GCTAGCAAAGCCAAGAGAGGCGATAAGAAGTTTGGAGGACACCATATTTAGAGTGACAAGCGTTGTCAACCAGGGAAAAATGAAAAGGTCCCTTTAGGTTAGTCCCAGCAAACAAAGATGCTGGGCCCTCTAGTGTTTTATACCTTTGCGAGATTACAATGACTTCACAGACTGGGGACGATTTGGAATCACTCTACAGCATGAACAGACGGGCCATTGGCTGCCTATGATACGCGAGTGATGTAAACGGAACCATCGGACATGGTTCTGAAGTCATCGAGCAGGATGTCGTAAGCTTTAAACATGAACTCTCACCTAGAAGATCACCAATCCCTGGAGGAAATGATAGCATAAGGCCAGACAGGGGCCTGAGCGCAGTTGATTTTCAAGTTAATCGCGATTTACAAGGACTCGCCAAGTGATGAACGGGATGTGGATGCATTGTATCCCTGCAGCCCTCTCTGAACCTCTAAGAAGACAAAGATTGAGCTTTGTAGCCAGTTTGCGATCGTTCGGAAAATGTTTCCCTGTAAAGATGGTGAAACCCAAAAAACTTCCGAGAGCTTGGGCGAACACAGCCTCTTGGAAGAAAGATTACCAGGCATTGAGCGGTATTGTGGGTTCCAATGGAACACTGTCACTCTTTGATCGGCCAGAAATCATGTTTATACTCCGCAGCGAAGAGAAGTCACGTCATAGAAAAGAGCTTGTGTAATGTGATTGATTCCAAAGCGACATTGCTAGGCTGGGGTTTCGGAGGTGAAGACGAAATAAGCTTACACCCGAAGATCGGCATCATCAACAAAACAAAAAAAAAAGGCCGATGAGTAGAGATGAATCCCGTTGTCCAATCAGAGAGGTCGAGTTGTTAGCATGATACCGTTGCTGGATAGGGCATGCATTTGCTGCTATCAAGGGTCCCATGTGCTGGTGGTGATATGCCAAGATGCACAAATGGCCACTTGAGCCGCGTGGCAGCGGTTTGGCAGGGGGTTTTACTGGCGGCTGGTGCATTTGCTCCGGTTGATGAGTAGATATTACCAAGGGGAAATGAGTTGTTAAGCTCTGATATTGAGGAATGGCATAGTTGCTTGAGAATTTCAGTCAATTCATGTAAGAGGTGAAAGGTTACTGATAATGACCAACACTATAGATTTACCCTGACGTTTAGACGCCACCAGTCCTATCAAATCAAAACGGTTCAATATTGTCGGTCAAAGGCTCATGCTCTGTGTTACAGATGAAATAATACATATGGCAGGCTGTCTAATACCCCAACTCATAGTCGTGTATGTCTCCACCATCACCTCAAAATTCATAAAACGTCAAAGGCTTAGACCAAGATTCGTTCCGACAACTCCATTACAACGTACATTTTGAATAACCCAGCCTAAACGCCAACACCGTGCTAAACCCTTGTATTCCCCTAACCGAGTAGAATACTAACCTCGTCCTTGGCCTGCGCCTCCCACGTCTTGAGCAAGATCTGGCCAACACCCCTGCGGTACGCAATATCCCCGATGCGCTCGATCCACAGGACGTTGACAAAGTCGATCATGTCGTCGGCGTCCATGTGCTCTTCGAACTTGTCCGTGTCGAACACGTGCGAGCCGCGACGCTCCGTGGCTGTTGATATGGCGATGAACTCTAGTCGTTCTTCGCCGTCGTAGTTGGACGATTGGATGCCGAGCCAGGCGTCGTGGGCGCGGAACTGTCCTGCCCAGCGGTTGGCCTTATTCCAGATGGTGCCGACGGCGAGAGGTGGGTTGGTGCGTTCGCGGTGTGCCAGTGTGGTCAGGAACTCAACTTCGAAGAAACCGCTTGTTGTGCGGAATGAGAGCAGTGGGCCAGGATAGGCTTGCTCGCCCACGGGCGGCTCGTAACCACCCTTCTCAGGAGGATCCTCTATAGGAATAGGATATTTAAAGGTTGCGGATTCATCACTATCGTGTATAAAGTGTGAGCCGCTTCGGGACCATCCCGGAGGTAGGTCCGAGTTAGGGCTCCGCCGACCCCGAAGTTCACGGTACTGAAGGCCGGTGTTCATGACAGGCACGGTCGCGGCCCGGTCCGTCAAGTTCCAGGTGATGGTCGGCTTGATGCGGAACGCGTGTGCGGACCGGTACCGCTTAGTTTCTTGGCCGCGCTTCCCAGTCCGAGCCTCTTCGACGTAGTCCGCAGAGGCTCTCCACAGGGTGAGATCGACTGGGATGTTATCAAACCACCAGCCCATCCAAGACCACGATGGGAGAAACGGTGGCCGTGAGAGAGCTCTCCTTCGGATGGAAGCGTGAGGGCGCCACAGTAGAGCAATATCCAAGAACATTATAGGCATACCGTAGATAAAGCCGCCGGAGAACGAGCGAGAGAGAACATGGGTAATTCCAGCAAAGGCGGGCAGAGTGTCGTCGACAAGTGTGAGTTTCCGGGCACTGTATTCCATGACATAGCGGGCATATTCGTCAAGGTCAGGCCACGGCGGATGTTGAAAGGCGAACGAGGCGTCAGGAATCGCACCGGTACAGTCTTGGCGACCACCTCTAAGCTTCTTCATGACACTGTTCGGGCTCCCCTGCCAAGTCTCGCAGTGGCATTCCCAGGTCACGGCGTCCTCAAAGAAGAAGACCGAGCGTCGAGCGTAGATGCGCTCAACAAGAGTCCAGCCTCTGGTGTACCACGGCGAAGCTGCCACCAGCTCCTGGTGAGTACGGCTGGTGGTTCGAATACCGCGTGTCGATCGCTTTGGATCAAGAGAAGGCAGTCCAGTGTGAACATCGCCAGTGGCCGCAACGATAGTAAGGTACGCATTGGAGAATACATATGCCATGTGTTTGACATGATCTTCCATCTCCTCTCGGTTATCTTGAGTGATGCAGATCCGATCGATCCAAATATGCCGAATGCCTAGTTTCTTGGCAAGCCACATGGCGTCTAAGTAAGTCTGAGGCATATCTTGATTTGGCAAGCGATCTTGAAACGCTTCCACGTTGGACTGCAGCAGATGCGTGTAATCCTGCGATCCATGCCTTTGAGTTCCATTGACATAACTCAGTGCCAGATAACGGTCCTTGGGTGTCGATTTGACCAGACAGCGCTCAACAACGTCGATGAGCCAAGTAGGACGCCATGTCGTTATATCAACTTTTGAAGGGACGGCGCAGTGGTGTTCATGATCAGCGTTGCACGCATCAAGCCACTCGCGGATCCGAAGAACTGGGCCACCCTTGGTAACAGCGGTAGATGCGCGTCGCTGGATTGAGGAGGCTGCAGCCGGTATGGGTATCTCTTTATCTTTGTCTTTGTCGCCGCGCACAGCCCTCAGGGACCCAAGGAGACGGCCGGTGATGCTGTTTCGCTTGCTAGGCGGGGGAGGATTCTCGCGGGGTTCTCGTGCCACGCGGGGAGGTATACGGCTGTCGCGGCGCCTGTCTCTGTCGACATCTCGATCTTTGAGCCTGTCTCTGTCGCGACTGGTGGTGTGATCTCTGTCTCTTGCATTGTCGAAATCTCGGTCTCGCCCATTGTCGCGATGGTCTCTTACATCGTCTAGTGACCTATCATGATCCCGGTCTCTATCTTTCTCTCTGTCTCTTCCGCTGTCGCGAGAGTCTCTGATATCATCCAGGGACCTGTCGCGATCTCGGTCCCTGTCCCTATCCCTATCCTTCTCTCTGTCTCGGTCGCGATCAATATCGCGATCGACATCGCGATCAGCACCTCGACCGTTATCGCGGTCTTTGTCTCTTCCGTTGTTGTAATCTCTGTCTTTCCCTATGTCGCGGTGATCTTTCAGGTCGTCGAATGAGCTATCGCGATCGCGGTCTCTATCTTTCCCCTTGTCTCTGCCAGTGTCGCGATTGTCTCTCGAATCATATGGTGACCTGTCACGGTCTCGGTTTCCATCTCGGTCCCTGTCTTTCTCCTTGTCTCTCCCATTGGCGCGATTATCTCTCACATCGTATGGCGACCTGTCACGGTCCCGGTCTTTCTCTCTTTCTCTTCCATTATCGCGATTATCTCTCGGCTCAGGTGGTGATCTGTTACGATCTCTGTCTCGATCCCTGTCCAGATCTCGCTCCTTATCTCTTCCAATATCGAAATAGCTGTCTCTCACATTCTCACGGTTATCTTTCCCCTCATTTAACGGTCTGTCACGATCTCTGTCGCGGTCCTTTTCTCTGTCATTCTCCCGGGGTCGATCGCGCTCCTTGGGTCGATCGCGGCTAAGAATTGGCTCCGGGGAGCTTCCATCGCTGGAACTATGCGACGGGCTGCGGTCTGGCATCGTACGTCAAGGCTACGAGCCTATAGCAAGTGCGCAGGAAAGGTCGTGGTGTGGCGCATACCAAAATGGCTGTCGCAATATTACTTATAAGGCAACCGAACGAGCAAATATTAAATTAAGATTGTTAGGACGTCGTAAATCTCATGTTGATGCCCGAGAATGGGGTCGTCGTCGCTGTAGAAGTCGGTCAAAGCCCCTCAGCTTTCGCGGTCTAGGTGCACAGCGATGCGACATGATTGGCCCGCCATACCTAAGCACAAACAAAGTGTCAGACAACGTCATCCAATTTAGTAACGGCTTTAACAGCTGTGAAGAGCTACAGCTACCGGAGCTAATGAAGTTGGGGGGTTGGTGGTCTAAGTGACGAAATTATCAATGCAAAAAAGGATGGTACTGGCGTTCAGTTAAGTCATTGTCAATCTAAAGAGAAATTATGGACAATACCATCGGCAAAGTTATTGCATTTGTTTGCCTGTAAAAAATGTCTATCATCGAGTGTGAGACATAAGCCATATATTCAAGAGAATGGCTCTGTACCAGGCTTGTCTCAACGTAAACTTTCCCAACTATAGTGCTTCAATTGAATAAACCTCTACTGTTAGTAACGTGCATGACCTTTTCAAAAACGGATTGGCCTGAGTAAGACCTGGAAGGGTAAAGAAGAATGATATTCAACGAAACCGTTCTTTCTAACTCGGAAAAAAGAACAAAAATTAGGTCAAACCGGGGATTGAACCCGGGGCCTTCTGCGCACTCATGTGAAGCAGACGTGATAACCACTACACCACTCGACCGAAGAGTTTTTGTTGTAACTATTTTTGAAGATCATGATTATGAGGCATTTTGTCTGCCGCATTTTGATACCCATGGCGATATGTGGGGTCCGATCGCTGGGCTAAAGGCGCCACAATCCCGTGGAGCTCTGTGGGGCCGTCGACCCACGCAGTCTCATTGGATGTATTTTAACCTTATCTTCCAGCAATATTTCAGAAGGAAAGAACCAAGCAACGACAAATCACTTCAGCATGCGTCGCAATACACTTATGGAATTAGATAATATTACTGGCTTTGATATGATACTTCGGAAAATCACAGAGATGAAAGTTGATATTGAAAATGTCGCCATCTTTCAGAAGAAAAAGAGACGTGTAACTACTATGTACGTAAAGACTGATATACACAAATGGTAAGTAAACTAGTTGAGAATATGCTCGAACATGTCGTGAAGAACTTGGCGCGTATATAAGAACGCTATGTCACTTTCGGGATACCTTAAACTTACAGGAACCCATCGGAGCGGCAGTATGGGAGGGAGCTCATGTGCTTCCTTGTCTTTGGGTGCTATATTTCATTCGACATGATGTAAATATGACAAGCTCTTCTCAGCCTATATGACATCATATAATTTGATGACAAGCTTATATATAAATTCTTCTAATAATAATACATTTAATACCTATTATGTTACATGTATCCGTAGTTGGCTCGTTGTTAGAACTTTTGCACGGAACTGTACATATATCTCTTATTTGCCAATGTACTGCCAGCTGACTCAATGACAGGAATACATAGAGCTAAGCAGTTCAATGTGGCTGCCCAATCAATGACTTCTGCAACTTTCCTATTAAAAGGAATAATATGATGCTACTGACTGTGTTACTCGCATAGTCTATGACGTTCCTATTGCGTATTCAGTAAAAGACATGAGAATTGTTCTCTGGTTGTAAGTGACCTACGCCAGTCAAACGTCATCTAGCGACACCTACTATATATGTGAGGAGCGACAAGAAATCACCAAGACAACACAGAAAATCATCTGGATAACACAGAATTTGCACAACAAGCATTATGTCTGATAAGGGGTCAGTCGAGCTTGGGCTGTCCAAGAGGCAGCCCTTACTCAAAGACAAACCAACCGTTGGCGATAACCAATCCCTTCTCGCAAAGGCGACCAAGACTCATCCTAAAGGCAGCAAAGGCGATGAAAATGCAAATGTGTATTTCATCGGGACAGCTACCACTATAATTGAATGGAAAGGTTTCCGTCTCCTCACAGACCCAAACTTCCTTCATGCCGGTGATCATGTTCATCTTGGCCCTGGGGTTACTGCTCAGCGACAAACAAACCCAGCGGTTGATCTACATGAACTGCCATCCCTAGACGGAATTCTTCTTTCGCACTATCATGAGGATCACTTCGATCGCCTGGTGGAAGATTCTCTCAATAGGGATTTCCTGATTGTCAGCACGCCTCATGCGCATAAATGCTTGACATCAAAAGACGAGCCCTTCACCAATGTCAAGTCACTCGACTTTTTTGATCACCTGAAGCTCAAATCCGAAGACTCTGAAGCTGAACAGCATCGCCCGATTATCAAGGTTACCGGCATGCCAGGCAAACACGTTCCTCCCGGTCCCTTGGCTGTTGCGAACGATCTCCTCGGCGCTGTTCCGCCTACCAATGGCTGGATGCTTGAGTTGGGACACCAAGATGCTGAAGATGCCGAAATTCAGACCGGCTATCGTATCTACATCTCTGGAGATACTCTTCTTGTGGACGAACTGAAGGACATTCCCAAGTGGCTCCAAGAGAAGCGCATTGATCTCATGCTTGTACACTTGGGGGGCACCACTATCCCCGGACCATCTGCGCCGCTGATTATGGTCACGATGGATGCGAAACAAGGAATTGAGATGATCAAGATGATGAATCCGGATGTTACTATTCCTATTCATTACGATGACTATGACGTCTTCCTGTCTCCTCGGAGTGACTTTGAGAAGGCTGTGAAAGAAGCAGGATTGGAAGATCGAGTAGTCATTCTCGATAGGGGTGATAGATATGAATTTGCTGTCAGAAAGACTTAGTTATGACGGCCTTTGGCCTGGCTGATGAGTTGATCTAAGGATATATGACAGGTTCATAAGCTAAAGACGTGTCTCTGGTGTACACTCAATGAGTTTGTAATTACAAAAGAAGAAGATCTCATAATCGAAACGATTGTGATTTCTCTCGAGCTGTGAAAACTTCGAGAATTTAGATAAGATGGCGTATTTACTGAAACTAAAGAGTCTGGGTTGAGTTTAAAAACCACCATCCAAACAATGGCGACACTACCCCACTCTTGTATGCTTTTCTGCCAAGTGGTGGGACATCAACAACGTAGTTCGTTCTTCTTCCTTGATCAAACAAAACACATTCAAAATGACACGATTCAGACCCTGCATAGACCTTCACGCAGGCCAAGTCAAGCAGATTGTTGGCGGGACTCTTGACAGCACATCAGCAGCGCTGCAAACAAACTACGTCTCCCAACACCCCCCTGCTCACTTTGCTCAACTCTACCGAGACAATGAGCTGACTGGTGCACATGTCATTATGCTAGGCCCAGGCAATGACGGGCCTGCTAAAGAGGCCCTTCAAGCCTGGCCTGGAGGCCTTCAGGTTGGGGGTGGCATCAACGACAAGAACGCAAAGGAATGGATGGATGCGGGAGCGGAGAAGGTAGAAACATGGGAAGCTCCTCACGTGGGTGAGAAAGCTAATTGTTTGACAGGTCATCATTACTTCTTACCTTTTCCCAGAGGGCCGATTTAGTCAAGAGAGGCTAGATGCGGTATTGCAGGCTCTTGGCGGCGACAAGAACAAGCTTGTTATTGACCTGAGCTGTCGTCGTCGCGGAGAAGATTCCTGGTTCGTTGCTATGAACAAATGGCAAACACTCACGGATATGGAAGTCAACCAAGGTAAGCGCTGGCAAATGTGCACAAGTCAATGACTCACCAGGAATAGAATCTATCAAATTGCTGGAGCCCTACTGCTCAGAGTTCTTAATTCATGCCGCAGATAACGAGGGACTGCAAAAAGGAGTCGACGAGAAGCTTGTGGAACGACTCTCTCAGTGGTGCTCGATTCCTGTGACTTACGCAGGAGGTGGCAGACACCTCGAGGATTTGGAGAATGTCAAGAAACTCAGTAACGGCAAGGTGGATCTCACTATCGGAAGTGCTTTAGACTGCTTTGGGGGCTCGGGTGTCAAGTTTGATGATTGCGTTGCCTGGAACAGGAAGCAAGACAACTAGAAAGAAAACAGAGCCACATATTGAACTTGTTTTGACGTACAGTAGCGAGGCTGGTGATACTGCATGTAGTTAATAGCGAGACACTAACACTAACTTATAAAGTCAATTATGTGTAAGAGTAGCCAGTCAAAGAACAATAATGGTCTTGGAGAAAGCTATAGAGCAACGTAGTGTTATTCTATCACAAGATGTTCGATACTGTTGAGGACAGAAAACAAGCCCTCGGATACTCTTACGATAACCCTAACTTTAGATGCTGTTGACACAATTTTTACTACATGTGGCAAAAGTTCCCATGCATTGATCCTTACATATTGATTTAGGTTAGCGACAGCACGCTTATCTCCCTTGTCAACCATGTTAGGGTGGGCGAGCCAAGATCGACTAGAGATCTGATGGTCTACGGGCAAGATGCTGTAAGCGAGCTGAGCCGCTTGCAGTCGCATTGCATCGAGCGTAGAAATTAGAATGCAGGAAGGTCTATCATTTTATTATATTGATTCGAAATTTCGAGATCACGAGATCGTGACTGCAAATTGAGGACATAGATCCAGGCTGGGCCCGTGGTTAGATTGAAGGTCAATGCGATTGAGAAAAGCAAGGTAATGTTTGAACTGGTAAACAAGCTACTACAAGCACGTTCAACAGAAACAAACATGGGATAGACGGGACAGGGAGTGGATATGTTTTCCCAAGAGGACCACCCAAGGCCCGGGTTTAGTGCCAGAATAGCCTCAACTGGAGCTCGGGAGGATCGAGATGCAAGACATGGCGAAAGGCATCGTCTTAGGCTAGCGGAGACTTGATGTGCTCAGGGTGGGGGATCTTGAGGTTGTGTAAGTTGTGATGTGCATAGATGAAAATGAGAGTACGAGAATTAAGCTACCATCGCATCGCTTTTAGTAGCTGCAGTAGAGAACACCCACATACTTTGCAGTATCTTGCAGCAACTCTAGTCCACCATGCTGTCGAATGCATCAAAAGCCCATCCCGTTAGTTCTTCTCCATCGCCAGGGGTGAAACGAAATCGGAAGAGAAAAACGTCATTGGGAGTCAAGCTTGGTTGGGGAAAAAAAACATAGAAAAACAACAAGCGCTGGGCTCATTGTAAACATTGCGTCTCAGATATCGTCAAGGATTATGCTGGGACTAAGCAGCCAATTGCTTGCTTTTGGGCTGCGGCTGGCTGCGCTGTAGCCATGGCGACACTCCAGCTTCCAGCTTGTGTAGCCCAGCAGGCCCCCCCGCTGTTACAACGCTGTAAGGGAGAACTGGGTTCAGAACTTCAGTGGAGGCAGCTCTGGACCGTCCTTGGAGACGAACCCGCCATGGCAGGGGCGGGGTAAGTACCTGGCACCCTGCTGCATTGTAGCAAGATAATTAGCGCCTCCAACGTCCGGCTTTAGTTCGCTCACCCAGAAGCTATCTCCCGGGCAACGCCTTCTATGTTTGTTTTCCTTTCGTCCAATCAGGCACACGCCTTGGCTTGCCTGGTGTGCTTCCCTTAAACCCATCAACTCGCCATATACGGTGAACAGCTTCTAACCTGCGCCTTTCATAACATAACAGCAACATCGTTGGAAGTTGTGTTGAGTCGTCGAGCCTTTGATAGAGCTGTTGTTTGCTGGCCCGTTCACGGCACATTTCTTTCTTCTATCAGCAGACATTGGTCGCATTTATTACTTGCATTCAATTCATTCTTGCTCGTGCT